GGGTTGTCTTGTAGGATTATTGGGCCGCCTTAGGGCCATCTTGGGCGTCTTGGATCGATCGTTCGGCGACTCGGGACCCTCTTTGGCCATCTTGAGAGCATCTTCGGGCCCTCTGGGCCCATCTCGGGGCCCTCTTGGGCCCGAAAAAGTTACGCGAGACGACGCAACACGTCCCCGACGAGACGCGCCACGCCCCGGTAGATTTGGCAAGTTGGGGTCCGGGCCCCGTCAAGACTCCTCAGGAGCGAGGATTGAGACTTAGAGGATCGGGCCCAGGACCTGAGGACACGCCCGCTCCGTGCGCAGCGACACGGTGGCGGATACGTACACATGTGTACATACAGACATATCCCCGTTTTACACTATGGCTTAGTTTCCTCCCCTCCCTCCCCTGTCCCTCCTCACCGCGGGGGGAGCCTGGGGGAGAGCGACGGCGTGCCACGCCATGGATTGCGCGCGCGCGAGGCGTGGTACCTGGACAGGGGGATCCCGTACCGGAGAGGCGGGGTGCGGGGTCCGGGAGGGTTTGAGGAGAGCGTTGCGGCTAGAATTGCAAGGGTGGTGTCTGCGGCAGGGGCCTCGCGCCCGTGCCGTCGTCGCTCTGGGCCTCTTGCTCGTGCTCCTCCCCCTCCTCCCATCCTCCTCCTCGGCCCCCTCCTCGGTCTCCTGCAACCAGGAGGGGACTGGCAAAGCAAGCGTAGTGAGCCCCCGTATATCAGGCCAATGGCGGTGCGCCGGGCAAACGTCGGTGAGGCTTGCCCGTGTTCACCGCATACATGAAGCTACACGCTAAATGCGTTGCCCAAATTGATGTCAGTTGGAAGTTGTCTCCTATCCTCGAGCAAATGAGCACACGAGTGGAGAGAGTGGAATGTGGAGCAGCGCATTGACGCAACCCACTCGAATTAGACCACTCGAATTGGGCAGCCCGAGATGACGCAAATCACCGAACTTTCGACCAAGTTCATAGGTGGAGAACCTGGATGTGCGAGAAAGTCCAGGTGAGAGGGCGTCTGGACGTCACAGAAGTTGAGGGCCAGCTCCAGACCTACCCCCATGTGTGCCTCAGACGCACGGGTCCGACGGCAGCCACGTGCCATTTGCGCCATCACCCTGAGGGGAGCCTGAGATGTAACAGACGCCACAAACGGGCAGGAAGTCACCAGAGAAATGTAACAATCAGGATAATAACGACAAGGCCTCTTCTCTTTCCCCTTCCTCCCCGCCTCCGCCTGCGCGCACGGGGAGAGGAAGGGAGGAGGAGGAAGAGGAGGAGGAGGATGACAGGGGAGGGGCGGGAGCTTCGGCCCATCCCGCCTCCGTGCCTGGGTCGTGGGTCAGAGTTCTCAGGGATGCTTCTTGGGAGCAGTTTGGGGAGAAGGAGGACAGGGCAGGGAAGGGAGGGGTGGGGGAGGGAGGAGAGGAGAGGGAGGGAAGGCAGGGAGAGGAGGGAGAGGAGGGCTAGGAGAAAGGAGGGAGGGGGGATGGGGAAGGATGGGAGAGAGGAGGGTTGGGGGAGAAGGAGGGGAGGAGAGAGGAAGATGGAGGAGGGAGTGGAGCGTTAGGGAGGGGGGGGGGGAGGAGGGGAGGGAGAGGGAGGAGCGTGCAGGAGGGAGGGGAGAAATGAGGGGGAGAGACGATGGAGGGGGAGATGGAGGCGGCGGGAGGTTACCTCCTCCACGGCCCGCCCGGCTGCGGCAAGTCCTCCTACGTCGCCGCCCTGGCAGGCCCCGCGGCCCTGCCGCCCCGAGCACGACGGCGGCGGCGGACGACGACGACCACGACCACGACCACGACCACGACCACGACCACGACGACCACGACCACGACCACGACCACGACCACGATCACGACCACGACGACGACGACGACGACGACGACGGCGACGATGAGGACAACCACGACGGCGACCACGACCACGACCACGACGACCACGACCACGACCACGACGACCACGACCACGACCACGACGACGACCACGAGGACGACGACGACGACGACGACGACGACGACGACGACGACGACGTGCTTCGACGTGTTTCGATGGCGCCGTGGGGGGGGCGGGCGAGGCCCGCTCCCCCACGGCGGGCAGCGCGCGCGCGGTCGCCGAGCCGAGGCGCTGGGGCGGCCCGCCGGCCAGCCCCGCGCCCTGGCACGGCAGCCCCGGGGCACGGCACCGGCAGGGCGAGCCAGCCCTTTCAGGTCGGGGGTGGACAGACCCCCCAACAGTGACACGTCGGTTAGTGAATTGTCCGTTTTCTGTTCTCGAGAGGGCGCCGTGGCCGTTATTTTCCAGGCCTGCGCCCACCAGGTTTGGGCCTCAGGTCGTTTTCACTAAACCACGTTTTACTAAAGGGAGGTCTGTCCATCCCCGATCAGGGCTCATTTCGATTCCTCCGCTTCGATGCGATTCGATGCCGATGGATTCCGATTCCGATTCGGTTCGATTTTGGCTTCCGAGTTGGGCTCCGGTTTCTCACCGGACGCACACAAGCCTGCCGATCTCCGCTGATTCGTTTTTTTTTTTTCCGAATCGGCTGCCGATTTCCGCCGATCCGATTCATGTCGATCGCCGATCCGATTTGTCGATCCGATTCTGGGCTCTCCTGGCCTTTTGGCGCTCCGCACGGGTTTCTTGGATCCGCGCTGGGCCCCCCAGCGGCGCCTCCGGCGCCGCCCATGGCGCGCTCCGTGCGCCGGGAGGGGGGTCTGGCGCGGATCCAAGACACCCGCGCGGACCTCCAAAAGTTTATGTTTATGCGTTGTTCTGTTGCTCTATCGGTCCCCCCGCCCGCGGCGCACCTCGGAGAGTGACGGGCCGCGGCGCCGCCCAAGGGCGGGAGGGTTCCAGGGTGACCCCGAGCCCACTACACCTTTGGGCCCCTTCGCGCCCGCCTGTTCCGCGTCGCTGGGCACCAGGATGCCCTCCGCCTCCAGCTCCAGGACGGCCCCACTGCGCGTGAAGGCCTCGAGGAGCTTGGCGCACGTTTCGACGGGAGCCTGGCCAAGAGCATTGCCGCCGCGGCACGGCCACCCGCGGCGGCGCGCTCCGCCCACACGCGGCGGCCGAGGCGCTCCCCGTGGCGCGCCGCGCGAGCCGCCTCGTCGAAGAGGCCGCCGTGGGGCGCCCCCGCCTGCGCTCCCGGCGGTGCGGCCGTGGCGTCCCGTTCCGCCCTCTTCGGGCTGGCTCCTCGGCCTCCTCGCTCAGCTCGCTCTCCTCCGACTCCTGCCAGCGGGCTTTCCGTCCTCGCATCCGCAGCTGCCGCCTGCTCACCCACAGGGCCGCCCTCTGCGGGGGGGGGGGGGGCGGGGGGGCTCCCCGCCAGAGGGGAACCTGACGCCGGCAGGCTGCCCGCCCGCCTGCTCCTCGTCCTCGTCGTTCGCCTCGTCGCTCGAGGTGCCCACGTTCCCCTTCACGCCCACCTCGGCCGAGCGCTCCTCCAGCCGCCAGCCCGCCGCCAGGCCGTCTGAGCGCGTGCGCAGCCCCTGACCGAAGACCTGCTTCTCCTGAACCTGCTTCTCCTCCGTGGTGGCGCCGTCCGCTGCCAGCCAGTCCATCAGCGCAGCCTCGCCCGCGCCCTGCAAGCAGGGTAGGGCCGCCAGGTTCCAGCACGGGCAGACGCCCGCGGGCGGCACCTCCCGCTGCGCGTGCGCATCTCCAGGCGGTCCTCCTCCTGCAGCCGGCGCAGCAGTGCGCGGTCTGCAGTGCGCTTTGCCGTCCGCATGCAGCACCACGTTCCTCCTCAGGATCGTCTCCACCGACGACGCCATGCCCTGCAGCAGAGCCCAGACGGCCAGGACGAGCGCCTCGACGCGGACGGCCAGCTCTGGCTCCCTCAGGATGGCTGCGCAGCCGTTCTGCGCAGCTTGCAGCTCGCCGCGCAGTTTCTGGACCTCCGACTTGGCAGCAGCCAGTCCCTGATCCGCCACCAGCAGCGCCCTCCGCTGTGCCTCCGTCCGCTCCGCATGAGTCCTCCTCGGTTCCTGCCTCACACCAGGATCGCCGCCAGGCGACCCTGCCCGCGCCACCATGCTCGCGCCGCGCGCCCGCCTCACGGGGGCAGCGAAGGAGCCGGCATAGCCACAAAGGCTACGGACGACGACAACGACGACGACGACAAAGGCGGCAGCGGCGGAGGCGGCGACGACCACGATGGTCATATGAGGAAGATCTACCGATACTGGTGTCCCCCCCTCGTCCCCATGGCTGGCTTCGCTTCGAAATCCTAGGCAGAGATACCTGAGGAGAGGTCCGGGGAGTGGCGGTATATGCGTATATGTGTTCCCCCAGACGGCGGGGATGGGAGGCGACGACGACGAGGGCTGTCGGAGGAGGAAGCCATACAGATACCGCTGCGCCACGGCTGGATTTTCCTCGAGATTCTGGTCAGAGTGCACCGTGACGAGATTGTCTTGTCCCTCAGGATGGGAGGGGGGGGGGAGCGGGGGGGGAGCGAGCCAGAGGGAGAGCAGGCGGAGGAGTACGACGTGTTGACAAGTTGCCGCTTGCTGGCCGCAGGAGGGAGAACATGTGGTGATGTCGACGAGGAGCGGGGGGAGCGCAGGGGGGGAGGAGCAGGAGGACATGAACGGGGACGGCGAAGCGCGGGATGAGGGGCAGGGGGAGAGGTTGGGCGACGAGGGCGACGGGCAAGTTCCGCCTGGGCTCGGGGAGCGTCAACAGCGGTCCAGGATCGAGAGGGGCCCGCGCAGTGAACACATTTGGATTTCGGATATCTCGCTGGGGTCTTGCCCCTTCCCGGGCCGCACCTGTCGCAATCAGATCGGAGACCCGAACAGCACAAAGTGCCTCTCTCCTTCTGCCTCTCCCTCGCTCTCTCTCTCTCTCTCACTCTTTCTGTCGTTCTCTCTCTCTCTCTGTCTCTCGAATCATATCTCGCTTCGCCTCTGTTACCCTTCGTTACCCAGCGCTATGCTGCCGATTTGTGCCAGGCAAGCTGGGCTACAACATATGTTTGTTGAACCTAGGCGACCCGACCATGACGGCGGGAACGGGGAGCGTGGATAAATGGCAATGGACAGGCAATGGATGGCATGTAAGATGGCGATGCCAATTTCGCGATGGCGACAAAAGTGGACCGAGACTAGAGCAGTCAGGACGGTACCGGTCGCATTGCGCCAAGAGATCGGCAATTGCACATGCAGAAAGCAGCACGACGAACGACGGCGCGCTCGAAATGTGTACCCATGGCGGTGGGGGTGACGATAATGCACGCGACCGTACAGTCGATTCGCGTGTCTTATTGTTCAACGCACTTCTCGAGGAGTTCTCGAGCCCGTCCCTGGGATTGGCACGTCCCTCTGCGATACGAGTCGATGCGATCCGATTCGCCGATTGGGCCGCGATTCCGAATCGATTCGCCTCGGCTCGATTCACCGGCATCGGCCAGTCAGAGGCTAGTCGCGGCGATGCGATTTTGACCCGATGCTGTACGATTCACTGGCGACTCGATGCAGCTCCGATCCGATCCGATGTCGCAGTGCGATCTGATGGGCCGATGCTCCACCACACCTCCGTATTATAGGGCGGAGGACGAGGAGGAGGAGGGAGGAGGGGGGAGGGAGGAGGGAGGAGGGAGGAGGGAGGGAGGAGGGAGAGAGAGGAGGGAGGAGGAGGGAGGGAGGGAGGGAGGGAGGGAGAGGGAGGGAGGGAGGAGGGAGGGAGGGAGGGAGGGAGGGAGGGAGGAGGGAGGGAGGGAGGGAGGGAGGGAGGGAGGGAGGAGGAGGAGAGAGGAGGGAGAGGGGAAGGGGAGGAGGGGGAGGGAGGAGGGAGGAGGGAGGAGGGAGGAGGGAGGAGGGAGGAGGAGGGCCTCCCCATCCTCTCCCTTCTCCCCCATCCTACCTGTGGCAGCGGTGGTGGAACCCTGGCCCATCACGCTGCATCTCGGGCCTGGCAGGCGGCCCGTGCCCCGGGCCGTGCCCGGTGGCCCCGGGCCGGGGGTCCGGGCCCCGGCAGGCCGGGAGCGGCGGCAGAAGCAGGCACTGGTCGAAGGCGAGGGCCCGGCCCCCGCCCTCGAGGATCTACAGTCCAAAACCCCAATAAGGACGCGCGACTTTGCTTAGGGCACCCTTGCGTCGTTGCTCTTCCTTGCTCTTGCGTCCTCGAGGTTTTCGTCGTCCGCCGCCCCAACTTCCAAGGGTCTTGCGGCCTTACCGCGCGTCCTGATTAGGGTTTTTGACTGTAGGACCAGCTTGCCCCATGGATGTGGAGGCCGTCTCTCGATCCGGGCCGCCTCTCGATTCACGGCGGGGATTTTCGCCGCTTGCGGCCTTTGGAGGCCCTCGCCGGGCCTCGGGGCCGTCCAAGAACGGCGCAGAATGAGAAACCGGTCCTGGGGAGTGGGTCGAGACTTTCTGGGGACCTCGTGTTGAGACAGTCACAGCATCGGATCTCTGCATGTTGTTCTGCCCGTGTCTTGATTTGCTTTCGCGAGTCCCCGGTGGTGTTGCGAGCGGGCCTCATTTTAGTTCGACCATGTTGGGCGTCGCATATAATGGTCGCCGCTGCGCGCACTGTTCTTCCAGGGCCACGCGGCGTAGGGTCGACATGGGCTTCCCCTGAATGAGGAACGGACTGGGAGAGGAAACAACCGAAAGTTGCAACACATACGATATAGTTGATCAATATTGTGATGCTCGGAGGCGAATGTTAAATACAATTCTGCGTTCGAAAGAAATATGTTAGTGTTTGTGCCAATAAGTTCCTTTGTTGCGTGTAATTCGTATTATAGTTGTCTGTCAAGTTGCGTTCTTTTCTAGACCAGTCAGTCTTCAACTAAGCGCCGCCTTGGGATCCAGTGACCTCGTCGACGCAGTAGGGCGCATGGCCACGATGGCAATTGGCTTAATTGGGAGATTGTAGGGATAAATCAAGGAGTTATCGGCGCGGAGATATCGAAGGTTTCACGCACGTTCGCAGCCAAGAGTGACTGCGCGGTCTGCGCGGCGCCATTACAGGCGTGCTCCACGCGAGGGTGCGGATTGGGACATTTTTCCGAACGAGTTCCACTTTGTTTTGTGGTGGGGGCGTTGGGCCCACCATGAGGCCTCCGATCTTAATGGTTAAACAGCATATCGTGTCCTTGCTGAACCCAAGGCGCTGGGGGCCTGCCCCCCGAAAGTCGACGTGTAGCTGCGGTGCTCGCACCATGCTTCTTGCTCTCGCCTTTGCCTGACCGGCGCTTGCACTGAAACAAACTCTTGCTTTCAGAGACGACCTCCGACTGTCCTGGCATCCCCGGCCGAAGTTTGCCGGCCGCCCACCTGTTGATGGCCGTGCCTCTCTGATGGCCCCTGGCGCTGCCCCCCCCTTCGACTGTTCGCGCTGTCGCGCACCACCTGCGAGTACACCGGCTCCTGGTGCCTGAGATTGCCTACGCGCGCCTCGTGGCCTTGACCTTCTGCGTCGGAGGCCTCCTGGAAAGGGTGACGTTCCCACCGAAAGTCCATGGACGTCCTGGGGTATCAGGGGTTCCTTGTGGAAGGTTTCTTGTGGTCGAGCTCCAAGTGTTGTGTGCCCATGGCCTGGCGCGGCCCGTCGTTTACTCCAACGCGTCAGCGTCCGCTCTTGCTGCTAACCAAGACAAGATTGCCCTCGGCTCTGTGAGGCGGTCAGGGCAGTGTGGCGTAGGCCACGCAGGAGCACGCGGGACGGAACAAAGGCAGATTCCACCCTTGGTTGTTGTAATCAACCGGTGTGCATGGTGGCGTGCTTGGCATCCAGACCTGTCTGTCCTGGGGCGCGTTCCTGGCAGAATTTCAGGCCTGATCCAGCTCGGTGGCGACGAGGGCGGCCCTGGAAGTATCCCAGCATTGCTGCCGATCCCCGAAGATCAGTCCTCGATTCCTGGCTGATCGGCAGAAGATTGATGGCGAGGTCCCAAGACGTCGCAGGAGGTCTCCAAAGGCTTGTGGAGGCCTCCAGAGGCCTTCCCAGAAAGGGGGAAGCGAAGAAAAACTCTCCCAGCGAAGGACCCAACGATAGGCAGTTTCCCGTTGAAGCTCATTTTTTCCAGTTGGAGCTCCCTTTTTGGCCATGCAGCGGGTGGGGGGGGGTCGAATTGGGTGCGCTGGTGCCGTGCGATAGCAACCGCCGAAGCCTTCGGTGCAGCGCCCTATGGGGCCATGAAAGGTGTAAAAGGTGTGCCGAAACATACGTCGCGATACCATGCGAACGTAGCAATCGGGGTCTTCGGAGAAGCTCCTGATGGGACTACTAGGCGTGTGAGAGTTTGGGCTGCATGGGCGCGTTGGTACCATGCGAATGCAGCCACTGGGGCATTCGGTGGAGCTCCCTGCGGCGCCACGAAGGCAGTGAGGGGTGTGCCGAAACATGGGCGCGGTGGTACCATGCGAACGCAGCTTGGCGCCTTCAGTGGAGCTCAGTATGGGGCCACGAAACATGTGAACGGTGTGCCGACATTGGTACAGGGGGCCACATGACGTGTGCGGGTTGTGCCGAGTTGCGTGCGGTGGCAGCCGCATGCGAACCCTGCCACTGGGGCCTACGGCGGAGCCCCCGTTGGAGCCACGCAGCGTAGCTCCGGAAATGGGATGGGGAACCGCACGCAGAAACGCCGAGGGTGTGAGGGGTGCGCCGATATGGGCGGGGAACCGCACGCGAACCCTGCCACTGGGGCCTTCGGTGACGCTCCCTACGGGGGGGTCATCACAAGTGTGAGGGGTGTGCCGAAATGAGCGGGGAGCTGCATGCGAAGTCTGCCACTTTGGTCTTCGGTGGAGCTCCCTTTAGGGCAAGGAAACGTGTCTGGGGTGTGCCAAAACGGGCGGGGAACCGCATGCCAACCTTGCCAACCTGGCTTTCGGTGGAGCTCCCAATGCGGCCGCGAAGCGTGTGAGGAGTGTGCCGAAACGGCCGGGGAGCAGCATGCGACTTTTTGCCATTGGGACCGTCGGTGACGTTCCTTATTGGGGCACGAAACGTGTGAAGGGTGTGTCGGAATGGGCGGGGAGCCGCATGCGAGCTTTGCAACTGGGGCTTTCGATTGAGTTCTTCGTGGGGCGCCGAAAAGTGTGAGGGTGTGCCGACACGGACATGCGGAGGGTAGAGGCAAGCATGGGATGAGGGAGAAAGAGGAGGGGGAGGAGGAGGAGGAGGAGGAGGAGGAGGAGGAGGAGGCGGAGGATGAGGAGGAGGAGGAGGAGGAGGGGGGAGTGAGACGCGGACGCTGTCTCTTCAAAACGAGGGCCCAGCACCACATGATGATTGGGAAACATCAATCCTGACGAAGGACACAACCATATGCCGTTGTGAATGGCGTAGTTGTCGGAGGTTGGGGGGTGAGATCGCAGTGGAACGGAGACCCCCAACAGGGAAATCGTTTCGTTTCGTTCGTGTCGTGCGTGCTGGCGAGGCGAAGCTGCGTGGGCGCGCGAGAGGAATGAACCCGCCGTTGCTCGGGCGAAGTCAAGACAAATGATTATCCCCCTCCCGCCCGTCCGTTGGTGGCCCGCGGTGTCCCGCGGTGTCCCGTGGTGTCCCGTGGTGTCCGCCGATACTAGGGCGACGTCAAGACAAATGATTCGCCCCCTCGCGCCCGTCCGTCGATGGCCTGTGGTGTCCCGTGCTGTCCCGTGGTGTCCGCCGTTGTTAGGGCGAAGTCAAGACAAATGATTATCCCCCGCCCGCCCGTCCGTCGGTGGCTCGCGGTGTCCCGCGGTGTCCCGAATGAGATCAACCAGCGCAAACACCAGCGTTCGGAGGTCCGTGCGGATTTCTTGGATCGGCGCGCCCGGGAGGGCCGACAAGTCCGTGCGGAGCTGAGAGAGTTTGTGTTTGTGCATGTATTATGTTGCTACGTTAGAGCGCTGTTTCTGGAGAGTTCAATTCAATATCGGCGCTCGTTTTTGAAAGTCACCCGCCCTCAATCCGTGAAACTCTTGCAAATATTTAAAACGAGTGTGTGCGGCGCAAAAGGCGAGAGGCACATGTTGAAAACCACCCGCCCTCAATCTGTGAAACTCTTTTGCAATTTCTGAAAACGAATGTGCTCGGCGCTAAGGCGAGGGCCACATTGTGAAAACCACCCGCCCTCAATCCTTGAAACCCTTGTACATGTTTAAAGCGAATGTGCGCGGCGCTAAGGCGAGAGGCACATGTTGAAAACCACCCGCCCTCAATCCGTGAAATTGTGGTCATGTTTAAAAATTCAGGGTCATAAATGGTGAGGAAGTCTCAGGCGAAACGCCGGGCCCGCCCGAAAAACTGGCTTCGGGGTGCGACAGTGAGAAGTTATGTATAAGGAGTAGGAATGAAAGAGGAAGGGGGGTTGGAAGAAAATGTTCTAAACCTCTCACGCCCTAAAGGGCTGGTGTGATTCAATCGTTCTGACAAAGGCCTTCCAGGAGTTGTGTCCGAATGCTGCGGGTGCGATGCTCGGTCCCTCGATCCTCGAGACCTGGAGGCCCGGGCCCGGGCCAGGCGCGCGCGCGGCGGGGGGGTCCGGGGCGGCCAAGAGGGTGGGTTTTGTGGCTGGGGCGATGACACCGCCCCAGATCTCATGGCCCCCTCGTCTCTTCTCTTCGAGGGAGAAAAACGCCGTAAACAGAAGTTTTCCGGCGATGAACTGCTAGGTCCCCTCTCAGACGCCCCTCTCTTGGACGCCCCCCAGTAGCGGGGAGGGGGGCGCAGGACGACCGCCTGCAGCACCTGCTCGCGGTGCTCCCCGCGCGGAGCCTCGTGCTCCTGGAGGAGCCTCCCCAGTGGGTCCTCCCCCCGCCGCCGCCTCTGGAGGGAGCAGCCAGGACCCTCAGATCTTGGCGTCTCAACTTTCTCGGGCCAGGCGTCTTCGCCCGGTTTCGGGCCCCAGGACGTCCTCTCACAGATCGATCCAGAACGAAACATGGCGCAGAAAGATGCGGTTCAGGGTTCAGGTCGTGATCTTATTCGATATTCAAATTTTTGTCTCTACGGATCTCAGGTTACCTCCTGACGCTCAGGGACCCCAATAGGCTCCTGGTCTGGCGGCTCGAGCAACAATCTGGCGGTCGGCTTCACATTTTGTCGGGGCCTTCGGATGCTTGTTTCGGGCCCGCAGGACCCGCAACAAATATAATACATGTAGCATCCCGCAGTTGCGGAAAAGAGTGAGTGGGCGGCGGGATCGTCGGCAGTCTGCGAGGCTCTAAAGAAGCCCGCCGCAGGCGCCGATTTTTAAGCAAATTCTGCAACGAGCCCGCCGCAGGCGACGAATTCTTCGTCAAAGCAAGTGGTTGGGTCGCGGGTGGGTCTCGGGTGGGTCGCGGGTGGGTCGCGAATGGGTCGCGGGTGGGTCGCGGGCGGATCGCGGGCGGGTCGCGGCTGGGTCGCAGTTGGGTCGCGGCTGGGTCGCGGGTGGGTTGCGGGCAGGGTCGCGGGCCGTGTCGGGGGTGGGACGACGACAACAAACAATAAGCAACGCGACAACCGCAACAACACCAACAACAACGACAACAACAACGACAACGACAACAACAACGACAACAACAACGACGCCGACGATGACGATGACGACGACGACGACGACAACAACAAAACCACCACCAACAACAATACCAGCAGCAACAACAATAATCATATAACGTTGTTCGCTCTCATTTGCTCGCGGGCCGTTCAACACGTATATTCCAAACCCTCGATACCCGCCTTCTTCGTCTTTGGTCGTACCCCTGTGGGGGTATCTATCTCTCTTACCTGCAACGTGCATATTTGGTGCAGCCCCAAAGGCAGGGGAAGAGAGGACGGATGGAAGGAAAGGACAAGGGTGAGGGAGGATGATGGAGCATGAGAGAGAGATATATAGAGAGAGAGAGAGAGTAGGAGCAGAAAACACGTGGCAGAACCAGACGGGTAGATCGGGCGGGTAGGGAAGGCGGGCCCTGGCGGCCAGGTCGAGCAGGCGGGTTGCTGAAGCGTGCGTCCTGCATGAATCGCGAGTAGGTCTCGAGCGATAGCGCGATTCCCAAATATCACGTGATGAAATCCACAGCGAGAGCGTGATTCCTGAGTATGGAGGGTGCGGCGTCCGAATACACTGCAACGAAGTCCCATGCGCGAGCGCAATTCCTGATAAATTCTAAGGACGACCCGCGCGAGAGCTCGATTTTGGAATACATTGTGAGGAAGTATCAGGCGGAAGCGGTTGTTATTATTGTTGTTGTTGTTGTTGTTGTTGTTGTTGTTGTTGTTGTTGTTGTTGTTGTTGTTGTTGTTGTTGTCCACCGGGGGCCAGGGGGCACAGTTCGGCAACATCGAATTTTCCTTTTTAGAGTGCGAGCTCTGGGGGAAGCGTTTACATTGAAACATAGTGTCCTAGCATGGTTACCCGAGGGGGGATCAACAATATTTATTCTTGAGAATTGAGAACGCTACAGCATCAACAACAACGACGACGAAGACGACAACAGCAACAACAACAGCAGCAACAACAACAGCAACATCAATCCGCACCGCGGAATACCACTTCAGCCACGCACCTAGGGACAGTGAATGACCATTCAGCCTCCTCACTCGGATGAAAATCGAGGCGGCTTATTTTTCTTCTCCATTTTCAGCCCTTCGGGGGGGTTCGGGCCGTCAGGAAAACGATTCGGGAGGAAGGGCTAGTCGGGCGGGGCGAGGACGATGATAAATCCGTTCCAGAGCGTTCCGGAACGCTCTCAGAGCGTTCCGGAAAGCTCTAAGAAGGTTGTGGCGCCCGATGCATCTTCCAGAGCCGCCGGATCTCAGAGATTCTCGATGCATCCCCGCCCGATGTTATCGTCGCCCTGGCTCCGTCTTAGTCGGCTCCGGGGGATGTGGTCGAGAGGTCCTCAGGAGCAGCGTCTACGGTGGGGGGGGGGTATGCCCAGGGGCGAGGGGCGGCGCATCGACCCCTCAGCGCGCATTCCTCGCTGAGAGGGCCCGATGGCAGGGCCTGATGGCCCACCCCGCCCAGGAGCCTGCGGATTCGCTATCGGTGGCCGTTCGCCGACCTATCTCAAGCAGTGGCGAAGCGTCCTGGCTTGCCTATGGGCCCACCAAAGGATGTCCTCAGAACCTTTTGTGGTTTGCACGACAGGTTCTTAAAGCAGTTCTGGCTGAGACTGTCTTGTTTTAATACGTCGGGCTTATGTTCTGGGAACGTTGTCTTCGTATTGATAGTATTTTGGGTTCTAAGACGTGTCGTGGTATGCCTATAGGAATTCCAGGACGGTCGGTCCCTGCTCAAGTGTCGGCGATGTATCGCCAGTTCAAGATGGATGCTTTCCCCGCACGAGCAGGATGTCCTGGGACCCCCAGGGGCCCGAGACCGGAAAAGACGGAGTTTGGAACCTGAGCCGACCAGGAGGAGCGGGGGGGGGGCGTCAAGTTGGCCAGGTCGAGCGAGTCAGCGGCCCCGACCATCCCCACCTTCCCGCCCTCCCCCCACTCGCTTTCTACGGCATGCGCACACATCGCCACGAAGCAGACATCGCCATGGAAAATGCGCCCTGGAACTTTTTCGCCATGTTCGGGCCGCTTTCACGCCCCAGAGCCGTCAAACAACTGTTCAATTGTCGGGGAAACGTAAGATTCGAGTACGCCGGAACTCGGGTTTGCCGACGCTTCTTGACGAGCGCGTCCTGGATGTTGACTGTCCGGTTTTCGTGGGATGTCTGCAGCGGGAGTTCGCGACAAATTTCAGATTGGGTCTCGCCATGCTCATGATAACTGGCCCGGTCAGGCCAACCCGAGTCCCCCGAATTCGAGTCGTGCGTCTCCCCGAAATTGGTCCAGGACCCGTTCCCGAAAAACTTGGAGGCGGACCCGTCGACACAACGGCGGCCCCCCCCCCAGCGCTCGTCGCCCGTTGGAGGCCTCCCGGAGGCTTCTCGCCGCCACGGCTGGGATCCGCCTCGGCAAACGGGTCGGGATGGATCCCCGGAGGGGTCCGGGCTCCGATGTCGAGCGGATGTGCGCCGGGTGGGAGAGCCGCCAGTGTCTCAAGGCGTCGTGTTCGTATTCATTGTTTTGCCGATCGGCGCGGGCCCCCTCCCCCCCCTCCCCCCCCTATGGAGTAGGTCTTGGCTGTTCTTGACGCCCGTTTCAAGCAGCTGGAATCTCCCCCATATGGGACGCACTGTGGCAAACAGTCGCATGGAGCAGAGGTCCGGAACCAGCAACCCCCCCTCTTCCGCCCAAAGTCGAAACGCCGGACAAGAAAACGTTCGCCAACTGGCTTTCATCCGCCTCTCGAGGAACAAAAAGCGTCATGTCGGAGCCACCTCAATAAACTAACACTATGTGCGTCGCCCCCCCAGGGGCGACGCGCGCGACGAGAAATCTTATATTATATGCTTCGTAGCGGGCGCTGTCTGGCCGTACCTCTCGGGGGAAGCGATATGCTGGATGGTTGTATTATATGATCGAGTCGGACAGCCTCTGCGCCCCACCTGAGCGATCGTGGTTTCCCCTTCGCCTCCTCGAAGCTGCGAGCAGCGCCGTCACGATGGCCGATGCCGTTCGGCGGGCTCGTGCCGCGTCGACGCGGCGGCGGCCGCGGCGTGGGCGCACCCAGGCGGAATGCCACGAGCGGCCCGCAGTCGGCCGGTGTCGAGCGATCCTGGGCGATTGGAAGAAGCCGCGATCGTTCGAGGCCGAGCGGTCCGCGCGGCGGCAGGAACCAGCGAGCGGCCCGCAATCGGCCGGTATCGAGCGATCCTGGGCGATGGGCAAAAGCCGCGATCGTTCGAGGCCCTGCCCCCTCTCCTGCCGGGGCCGCCACGCCCCCAGAGCGGTCGGTGTCGGAGGTCAGGGAGGCACCGGGGGTCGAGATCGAGATCTTGGACGGTCGAGGCTCGAGGCTCGAGGATCGAGGCATCGAGGCATCGAGGATCCAGATCGAGGCCACGAGGATCCAGATCGGGTCGAGGATCGAGACCCTGGACGCTTGTGGTCGTCTTGGGGTCCTGGGCGATCGGATCTCCCCCGCCCCCTAGAACTCAGAGGAGGAAAGGGTACACGCTGGTCGTTGAAAGTAGATATTTTATGAATTCCCACACCCCAGTCTACTTTAGGCGCCTTCCTACTTCAATCATCGAGTGCTTGTTCTTTTTCCCTCCTCTTCAGTGGGCGGGCGGAAAACCAATCTGCTTCCAACGCCTTCCTACTTCATGTTTCTAACTACTTCTTCCGACCGACGGGTACCCATACCGCGGCCCTCGTCGCCACCGCTGGGTTCGCTTCGAAATCCTGGTCAGAACGCATCCCTGGCAAAGATCCGGCGAGTAGCGGTATCGGTACCTTTTGGTCCCTGAAGCGTTGTGGGTCGGGTCTCCTTGAGGTGAGACCAGAGCCCTCCCCCCCAAAGGTACTCAGGACCCCATCTGGGCGGCGCCAGAAAACAGGGCCGTCTTCGCCGACTTCAGCGCGTCAGCGGCCCGCGCAAGGCCGCGCGTAAGCGCCCCCGTTTCTGGTGTGGCGTGCCGCGGCGGCGGCCCGCGTACACCGCGGCGTAAGGTCGCTGCGCCACCTCGCGCAAGACCCGCTTCTGATCGTTGCTCACCTTTGAACCGCCGATCTGCCTCCTCTCCTCGGCGAAGAACGGCAGCGGCAGCGGCCGCGGCGGCAGCAGCCAGGAGAGGAAATGGCTCGGGGCGCCCTCGCGCTGGTCGGCCGTCGAGGCGGTCGGTTCCCTATGTCGTTGAGGCATTCGGAGGCCAATTTCGGGCCTAAGGGACTGGCAACACGTATGACAGCATTGAGCCACGCGAAGGGGTGGGTGGGTGGAGGGGTGAGGGTTTCTTAGAAATACCCTTCTTCTCAGAAGAAACGGGCCTGATCTACAGATGTTAGGCCAGCGGTTTCTGAGAAGCAGCCTTCTTTTTCCACATTGTTTCCCCTTCCCTTCACCCCTTTGCTCGCGCCAGCAGAGGATATTTGACAATGGAGGCGGCGTTTGTGCTTTCATAGTTTCAGCCTCCGGGGCCGGCTTCGGGCCCTATGGCCGCCAAAAACGACTTGTGATGAAGGGCCGGCCCCCGGGGAAGTGGTCGTCACGGGCAAGAGTAGGGGGGATAGGCTCTGGGGGGAGGCATCGGCCTCCAATCGCCCATGGATCGCCAGCAAGGGTCCGAGGTCCGATGGCCCCGCGCCTTCCAGGGCCGGCCCCCGGGGAAGTGGTCGTCACGGGCAAGAGCAAGGGGGGCATAGGCCCTGGGGGGAGGCATGGGCCTCCCATCGCCCACGGATCGCCAGTGAGGGTCCGATGGCCCCGCGCCTTCCAGGAGCGTGCGGCGCTGCTGTCGGGGGCCCCACGCCGATGCATCGGCGACGCACCGCCGATTCAAGGCCGATGCTCCCCCCCGAGACATCGGGGGCCGGGTTCGCGTGTTCGCCACCTAGAGGCAGGGATGGACGACGACGACGACGACGACGACGACGACGACGACGACGTTAGGCGGCTCAGGGGAACATCGTCGTATCGCCGACGTTCCCCAGGGGGAAGCGGCCGAGGCATCCCCCTCGAGGAAGAGCCCGCCCCCGGGGGGAAGCGGTGGAGAGGTCCGGGGGCCGGGCGTCTCGGAAAGCTCGTGGCGCCAGGCGTTTGTCGAGGGAGCGCTAACATGGATTGAGGCGGCGCGCGTTGACGCCAGATGAGGCGGCATTGGTTTCATGTGCCGGAGATACCTTCCTTGATCAATGGACTTGGCGCCCACGCACCAGATCTACGGATCACTAATCTCGGGGGCGGAAAAGAGGGGGGTGATGACTAGGGGGGGTGGATATCATGGCGGGGGCCATGATATTTCACCAGGTTTCATGGCGCCTCTTCTTGTTTCATTACGTCCCTGGCCCCCCCGCTGGACCGCGCACATGCCGCCGGTCATGATTTGCACCCCCCCTCTTGGACACCCCCCTCTTGGCCGCTCCCGATAATCCATGCTAGCGTGCGCTTGAGTTTGGTTCCCCTCCAGGACGTGGATTTCGCCGTCGGCAACAGCGCCCCCGCCGACCCGACAGGCTCGCCGTCCTTTCCTCTCTCCTCGTCGCTCGTTCCCGGGTCGGGCGAGATGGGCGACACCCACACGTCCAACGTATTTTGTCGTAGGTTTTCGTCGGTCAAGATGTAGATGATTTCAAGGTTCTTTCGTAGGTCAAGAGGTCCAAACCCAGGCGAAAATCCAGACGTCGATTTTTCGCCGTGTTCTGCTTCTGCGGGGCTCTGGCCAGGCCCCGGGGCCGTCAAGAAACGGCTCGGGATGAGAAGGTGCCCCAGGGGAAAAAAAGGTCGGGACTTCCGGGGACCCCGCCTTGAAAAGATCAGGGCCATCATCGGCAAAGGTCAGGAGGGAACGAACATACAGAACCACATAAGGTTCGATTACTGAGAGAATGTTCCGTATGTATGGTCTTCGCCCCTTGCCGCTTGGCCGAAAGTTGGCCTAGAGCTTGGCCAAGCTATCGGACCATGTGTTCCCCGAGTTGGTTTGGAAAGCCTTCGGGGAACACGTGGGGGAGAAGGAAGAAGAGGAGGAGAAGGAGGAAAAAGGAGGAGGGAGGAGGAGGCCACTTGGGAGCTTCTTGGGGCACTCTTGTGGCCCCTCTTGGGGACTCCTGGACGCTTGAAAAAGGGAAGAAGGCTCAATCTTGTTCATAGGTTTCGGTGTAGTGCCAGCGAGTGATATCGCAGCAGCTAGTCTCTGATCTGTCAGTAATATCGCCCTGCAATGACCGACAGGATAGTGGACGATGCGTTCCCCGATTAGTCGTAGACAGATTTCGGGGAACACATAGTCGATGAAATATTCGGTGGAGACGGCGACTTTGTTCCTCTTTCTCTCTCCTCTCTCGGCTGCCTTCTCTGGAAAGATATTTGCCAGTATGAGTGATGGGAATTTGCTGCTGTGTTTGCCTTGCATGCGGGTTTTTATCAACATAAAATCGATCGTCGTGAGAGATTAAATTCGATCGTATATTTTAGTGGACAGCGTTTCGATGTCTCCGGGAAGTTCAATAGGGATATGGAATGTGAGGGTGTGAAAGCTGTTCGGAGAGATCCATACTACAGATCGTGAAAACATGTTGTATTGAAATGCATGGGAATGTTGCGAGTTGCCGCTAGTCGAAAACAGTTCACGAGTATCCTTCCTTTTGGGTTCTCTTCGGACACCCGTTTCGGCGCATTGAAAACGAAACCATTGCAGCAAATACTCCCTGAGCCGTCGGAAGCCGTCTTCGGAGCCTATCTGAGCCGACTTGGGACCCTCTTGGGCCGTTTCAGGGCCGTCTTGGAGGCAACCTCAGGCGTCTTGGAAGCCTCTTGGGTCGTCTTAGAATCCTCTTGGGGACGTCAGGTCTCTTGGGCCGTCACGGCGCTATCTTGGAGACCTCTTGGGCGATCTTGGAGCTAGCTTAAAGGCCCTGGGGGCTTCTCGGGGCACACATTTAGAGTTTTCGGTTAGTGGTCCCCTGCTAGGGCCCCTCTTGGGGCCATCTTGGAGCCCTCTTGGGCCGTCTTGAGGCCCTCTTGGATGCCTCTTGGGTTGTCTTGGGGCGATCTTGGGAGCTTCTTGAGCCGTCTTAGAGCGTCGGAAAGCCGAAAATGCAAGAAGGCCAAAATCCTTCAATCATGTTTTTCAATCGATGATTTTGGCCTCTTGACTCTTGAGGCTCTCTCAGGAGGCTCCATTGAGCGCTCTTGGGGCATCTTGGGGCCCTCTGGGTCTTGGAACCATCTTCGGGCATCTTGGGGCGCTCTTGGCTTCGGCAACGCGAATATGATGCAATTTGCAAGGGTTGATGGCCTCGGGAACGCGAATGTTGCGAAGGCGCGAGGGATAAGGCCTCCGGGGCGCGAGTCTCATGTATTGTTACGTGTCCATCAGGAATTCAGGCAACGCGATCCTGGCGTGGAAACCAGGAGGTTTGGGTCTCCCCCCTCGCGCGGACTTCAACAATTTACAATAGGAAGCAAAAAGCAGGACTGTAACACTGGAGATTTGGAACTGCAGCTGGTGCAGGGAGCAGCACACGTCGTCCTACAGCCTGGTGGCCCCACAGTGGGGCCGGCGGACATAGAAAATATGGGAAGAAGGTGGGGAAGACGAACCTCCGGAACATCAGGGAATCTTGGGATTTGTTTGTTTGTGTGTCCCCGGGGCCCCTTCAAGAGGGGGGCGAGGTACGAGCTCTGCTGCATGCAGGGCTTCAGCGCTGGGGCGCCCTCCGTCGATACCTTGGCGCCTCCCAGCGTCGGGGGGCGCCGAGAGGGCCGGGTGCACGAGTTGGTTCGCTGGCCCGCTCCTGACCTGGCGGCGAAATCCGAATCCTACCGTCAAGGCGCTGCAATTCAGGGGAGGAGAGAAGCTCATATCGTTCATTCTCCCTCGTGTTCCCCTGTTGGGCCTCCTGGGAGGCCCTCGTCACCACCGCTGGATTCGCCTCGAAGTCCGGGTCAGAACGCACCCTGGGCGAGGTCTGGGGAGTAGCGGTATATCGGTGCCTGTTTGGTTTCCCCCGAAAGAAAGACCGCTCTGGGTTCGGAAGGGGCTCGCCGTTACCGAGGTTCTTCCGGGGGTTGTGCCTCTTGCCCCTCCTTGTGCACCCAGGCGCGTCTGGGGCCAAGAAGGGACTTCGCTCCTTAATTAGCGTTCCTTCTGGTGGCACCCGGGCTGCACCCTCGCCGATCCACGGGCAACCAGATGGGCAGCGGGGGTCGGGGCCCGGTTCGTCGAGCACGCGGCGCGAAGTCCGAACCCCATGCCCGCCTCCCATCGACGCAGGAGAATCGGTGGTTGGCGGGGAGAGGTTTCGGATGTCGCCACTTCGCTCCATCTTCGCTCGTTCGATTGTTCGATTCATTCGATCTGATCTTTTCGTTCGATCTTATTCGCATCTTCGCTACATTCCCTTTTCGATCGATCTGATCTTCGCTCCTGGGTCGTACAGAAACCGCCACATGACGTTACACGGGCAGTCTCGCGGGGTGCGTGTTTTTGGGATGGGGGTCCAGAGCGTCTGTTTTTCCGGCCCGAGGGCTCAGGGAAGCCGCCTTTGGGCGGTGAGATCGAAGGAGGCAGAGGTGTGTCAGTGTGGCGTGTTCGTATTGCTGTCAGGTTTTTTTAGAGGGGGGCTGTGAGCCTGGTACGGGGGATGTTAGTAGAGTCGGGCCGTCTTGGGACTTCAGGGCCGCCACAAGATTCGCAAGCTTTCGAGTGCAGCGGGAATCGGCGCGATGCCTGGCTGCGGCAGCTTTGCTGATCAACGATCCTGTTACGAAGATGATTACCAATGCGCCGTGCGGGTTGTGTGGGGTCCACGTTGGCTCGTTTGTTGTTGGGTACGTGATGCAGACAGACTTGGCTTTGGAAGTCGATCGCTCCGACAAGGAGGTCATCGTTAGGCCTTTGCTTTAAACGTTCGGATGGCAGCAATGTCTCACACAATCCCGAACGATGGAAGCAGGTGGCGCCATGGACTGCACACATCGCTTGACTTTTTGACGACAGTTTCGGTTCGAGGGTATGAGCTGGACGACCTCTGTTGCGGTGATCTGTTGACCATCTCTTATTGGCGTGCGAATCGTTACAAACAGGTACCGCGTTACCTATACATACGCGTTCGGTTGTCAAGATGGAGCACCAGCACACGCACGACGCAATGTGTGTTCTTGTTTTTGAATCGTTCGTGCGCGTGCAGTTTGCAGCAGGCATGGCGCAGTTCCAGCACGTGTGCATGCCATCCATCTCTGAAGGTCCATATGCTGGAATAATGCGGGTGAGCTTCAGCGGCCTTCTGAACGCGTTGGATGGTGTCGTTGCCACCGAGGTGTCTCGTGTCTAAATTGTCTTGCTTACATGCTCTGCAAACGTCGATTGCATTGATGGGGGTGATAAGAGCCACAATCAAAATTGTTGTGCTCATCACGCTTGCCCTGCGAATGTATTCTGGATGTGTCGAAGATGTGCGGGGATTGCGGCCCTGTCGCTTCTGGTGCGTTGGAGGTATACTCGAGGATTTCGTGATTGCGATCTGTTTGTGATTGTTTAGTAGAGCAGCTTCATGCTACCGCTCGGGTCACATTCATGTTTCAGCGAGTACATCATGGTTCGTTTAAGCCAGCGGCTGCACCGCAATCACATATTTGTGCTTCATCTTCTCGAGTTTCAGTTCTGCCTTGAGCGCGGTTGATCAACGCTCGAGGAACGATTGGTGTTCATGACCACGAACCATTTCCGGCGATTGCCTCGTGCTCTCGTGCGACCTGGCCGTGTGGATCTGAACATATACGTTGGCGTGGCAACGAGGCCCCTATTTTTCAAGTCTCCCACGTTGCGCGCACAGTTGCCGCAGCACATCTCATGCACAGCCCAGCCGCAGCGGGTCTGGAATCAGACGGAGCATCGGCTGCATCCATCTCGTGATGATTCCAGACATCACACGGCGCCTACCATGAGCTTGGTGATGCACGCTCGGTGGAACCCGTTTGCAGTACCGTCCAGAAGCTGAAAGGGACCACCTTGGGCTCAGGAGGTGCTGCGATTTTCGGGCCGTTCCTTAGATCTAGGTCGGGGAAACTACTCGAAGCCGAGGCTCGCAGTGGCCAGAAAAGCCCCTTCGTTCCTTTTTTCATCGCTTCGCTCATTCCGCCGGCCCATATTGCGCACCGCGGTGACCTGGCCGAGAGGTCGTCGGCAGTGCGGAGCTGCAGGGAGCGGCGGCCCCAAAACGTTTCCAGAGGCTCTCAGGAGGGCTTCAAAACGGCTTCAGAGCGCCTCAGGACAGCCCAAGAGAGCCCCCGTGGGGCCTCCTGGGAGCCTCTTCGAAGCTTCTTGGGAGCCTCTGGGGAGCCTCTTGGGCCTTCTTGAGGGCCTTTGGGGGGCCTCTTGGAGCCTCCTGGGGACCTCTCCGGGCCAAAAGCCCGAAATGTCCGTTCGGGTGCCCCGTCTGGGCTCGCTTTTAGAGCCGTCTTGGAGGCGTCTTGGGCCATTTTGGAGGTCTTTGGGACTGTCTTGGGGCCCTCTTGGTCTTATCTTGGTGGCTTGTTGGGCCGTCTTGGGGCGATCTTGAGGGCCTCTTGGGCACGATTGGACGCTGTGAACCCCAGACGTCGTATATCCGAAAAATGCACATTTTGCCTCGGGAATTGTAGCAAAACGTACTTGATAAACATGTTGTGATAGCGCGTTGCTGTCTGCAGCCGTGCTGGTTCAAAATAGCATCGTCATGGTAGCGGAGCTGGGTTCACATCCACCCGCTACCGATCCATATAGCCCCACTCCCTCGGGCGCGCGGCGCCCCGATAGCTGTCACCACGGAGGTGACCAAGAGGACGGTCTCGACGGAGGTGACCAAGAGGATTAGTTGGTTCTGGGTTTTGCTTGTGGGCGCTGGCGCTAGCTTGTGCGCAGTGTGCGCAGGATCCGAAGGCTGCAGCGCATCTGGGGGAACCTGGGCCAGTTCTTACAACAGGTTGCCTCGAAGAAACTGCGCGAGGACATCAGGAAACGGATGTGATGGCGGAGGAGCAGCTGAGGCAACTGGTCGAGCAGGTCCAGGGCTTGACCAACGAGCTCACGCGACAGAGGGACGTTGTGGCGACGCTGCAGACGCAGCGGGTGCAAGAATTGGAGGCCATGGCAGCGCTGCAGGCCACGGCCATCGTGGATCGCGAGGCAAGGAAGCAGAAGGTGCAGTTTGTCGACGTCAAGGACATAGGGAAGCCAACGGTGTTCAGCTCAGACATGAAGGCGTGGTCGAGCTGGTCGTTCAAGCTGGGCAACTTCCTGGAAAGGGATCATGAGTGGCGTCAAGGAGGCGCTAGAGTACTGCAAGGATCAGGAGGAGGCGCTGGCCGAGGAGGATCGCGGCGAGATCGCGGACTGCATGGACGAGGGGACCGACGTGAAGAACGTGGGCAGGCAGCTGTACGCGGTGCTGGCGCAGCTTTGCGAAGGCGAGGCGCTGGAGCTGGTCCAGACGACCAAGGACAACGACGGGTTCGAGGCATGGAGGGTGATGTCTCGCAGGTTCGACCCGCAGGGTGCTGGTCGCAGGCGGAACATCCTGGGCACGCTGATCCAGCCAGGAGCGGTAGATGTGAAGGAGCTGAACAGCCACATCGCCAACTGGGAAGAGCGGTTGCGAGTCTACGAGAAGCGAGCGGGCATCGCCATACAGGAGGATATCAAGACCGAGGTGCTGGTTAGCATGACAAAGGGCGTGCTGAAGGATCACCTGGTTCTCAATTCGAACAAGCTGAAGACGTACGCCAGCGCGAGAGAGGATATCCAGAGCTACCTGGAGTCGAAGGTCAACGGCGGGCCGAGCCCGATGGACATCAGCGGTCTCAAGGGTGGCGGCAAGGATCGAGGTGGCAAAGGCAATCCCGATGTCACGTGTCACAACTGCGGGAAGAGAGACGGCCACATGAAGAAGGAGTGCTGGCAGCCAGGCGGGGGAGCGACCCAGTCGACTCAGCATCCGAAGGGCGAAGGCAAGGACAGCAAAGGCGGCAGAGGCAAAGGCAAGAACAAGGACAAGGGCAAGTACGACAAGACGACGGGCCCACCTGGGCCGAGACGAGATGGACAGCAGGGCCAACGACAACAACCACAACAGCAGGCAGGCTTTCAGGGGCACTTCTCGATGTGCTGGGGCTGGGGACATGAGCGGAAGGATTGCCCCTCGGCGCGCGGCGGTCAGCAGCCCCCGAGCCGTGGAGCCAACAGCTTGGAGGCGAGCGACAAGCAGGAGCCCGAGACCGAGCACCATGGCGACACTGGCGGGCTGGACTTGCGCACGTTGGAGCTGAGTGCGCTGGGCGATCACGACGAGGAGCACTTCTATGCGGCGGTGGACTCTGGAGCGGCGGCGAGCGCGGCTCCAAACGTTGGTTCCCGGATGTGGCGGCCAAGCTGACCATGTCCAGCGAGATGGGCGCCAGCTATCGCGCGGCCAATGGACAGTTGGCGCGCGACGAAGGCGAGAAGATGATCGAGGTCGTGACGGAGGATGGCAGTGTGAGACGACTTCGGTGCACATCGACTGGGGTGCACCGAATGCTGCTTGCAGTCTCGAAGCTGGTGGAGAAGGGGCGCGAGGTCTATTTCGGCCCGAAGGGCAGCTACTTGAGGCACATCGCAAGTGGCAGGAGTTTACCAGTTCACTTGAGGCGCGGGATCTACACGATCAAGCTCAAGCGAGTGAACGGACAGGAGCGGTCGGCTCCAGATATCAGTGCGACGTCGGAAAAACTGTCGGCATGCTCGGCAGTAAGACCCAACACGAACGTTTACAAGATCAATGCAGCAGCGGCAGCGCTGGCAGAGGCGGCGCCCGCGGAGGACAAGCCAGACGACGAGGAGGATGACGACATGGGGGATCCACCAGTGGCAGTGGTCCCGAGACCGTTCGAGCCGACGACGATCGAGCGGGAGGCGCGCGAGGCGGCAGGGCACGCGCAGTTCAGAGCATGGTGCGGCGACCTGCGTCGGAGGACGGGGCCGCAATGCTGATCATCGGAGGTTGGGCGCTGAGCGAGCGCACCTCATCAACGCGATCTCCGTGGACTGCGCGCTCTTCGGGGGTGACGACGAGGGGCCAGCGCCGACACTGGTGCTGCGTGAACACAAGGGGCGATGGACGGCGTCGATCGCGGCGACGAGCAAGGGGGCCAGGGAGTCCTGGATCGTCGAGAGAGTGGCGGGGGCCATCAGGCACACAGGAGCGAGGCACTTCGTCTTCAAGAGCGATCAGGTGCCAGCGATCGTTGATGTGAAGAACAAGGTGATTGAGGGCCTGGGTGAGGCCTAAAATGTGGTGAGAGAGGAGAGCCCGGTGGGGGAGCACCAGGCCAACGGCGCGATCGAGCGGGCGGTGCAGTCCGTAGGTGGGATCGCGCGGACGCTGAAGCTGGCGGTGGAGCGCCAGTGCGGCATGGATCTCGGCCACGACCACATGACTGTTCCGTGGCTCATCAACTACGCGGGCGCGGTGCTCAGCCCGTTTGAGGCGGGAGCGGATGGGCGCACAGCGTACGAGAGGCTTCGAGGTAAGAAGCATCGGAAGGAGCTCCCGCCGTTCGCCGAGACGGTGTTTTACCTGCCGGCACATCGAAAAAGGGCCACAAGAACAAGCTGGATGCGAAGTGGTTGACTGGCATCTACCTGGGCGTGAAGTTGACGAACCAGGAGTTGCGCATCGGCGTGGAGTCGGGTGCCATCCGGGCCAGGGCGTTACAGCGGAAGGCTGGCGAGGACAGGTACGACAAGGAACTGTTGAAGAAGCTGCAGGGCACTCCATGGCGGCCAGTGCCTGGAGTGGTACGAGATGGAGAGGAGGCGCCAGCTGCTCGGCTCCCGATCGCGAGGGCGTCCGACGAGGCGCCTCTGCCGGTAGAACCGAGGGCGTTGCGGCCAGGTACTGGACCCGGAGGAGTCCCTGGACCGAGGCGCGCGCACATCCGCAACGAGGTGGAGATCAAGAAGTTCGGGGTGATCCCAGGCTCCATTGGGTGCGAGAGCTTTGCGCGCGGGCTGCCTGCGCGCAGTCGCAGCGAGGCGTGCAGGACAAAGATCATCCAGCTCATGGAGGGCGATAACGAGATGAGGAACCGCGTCAGGATCGCGGAGGAGCGCCAGGGCATCAAGAGGCCAGCTGAGAGTCAGGTGGTGGAGTCGGAGGCGCAAGCTGATCTTGGACAGCCGGCGGCGTCATCAGGTGCGGCGGCATCGAGTTCGAGGGCTTCGGGGTCAGGAGGTGTTCATGCTGGCCCAACGGCCGCGCGGGAGGCATCGAGTCCGAGCTCGGGAGCGCAAGCGGCTGCCAATATGGAGGAGACGTCGGAGGTGCCGAAGGCGATGGAGGAGAGGTCAGGCTCAGGCGTGAAGAGGCCAGCGGAGGAGACACCTACAGTTGAGGGGGCAATGGGCGCAGGTGCGCTGGAGGAGGTGAAGGGTGTCATCCATGAGCTGGGTTTCTTCGAGGTTCACGTGTCAGAGCTGTTCGGGCCAGGCAAGTTCACGGACAGGGCCGAGTCGTTCGGCCTCAACCCTGGGCACGCATTCGACCTGCGCTTGGCGGACGACTGTGGTGCGCCGCGGGACCTATCGGACCCAGAGCGTCAGAAGCTGTGCGAGGCGACGATCGACAAGGAACGGCCGTGCTTGGTTATCGGGCCGTTGATGCGCCGAGCGTTCAGCACCATCATGATCATGAACAGGACCCGCGACCCAGAAGGGTACGAGAGGAAGGTGATGGAGGGCATCCAGCACCTGAGGTTCTGCGCGAGGATTTACGCCAAGCA